TATGTAGTTGATGAGGTAGGAACCTAATACCTTTGATCACCCCGGGAATATATGTTTTGCTCATGTTGCTAAGCCATGCTCGTAGACGGGGATTGGTATGTGAGAATCATGCAAGTTGTGAGAGATGATAACTATGGAAACTTAAGGTGGCTACTTTAATACACATCTGGGTGGATTGGTTGCGGGCACCTGGGGAATTCCAGTGTTGTCCTAGGAGATCTTGGGGTATCCGTGTGATCATCCTATGGAATGCCACCTAGACTCAAAGGGATCATATAATTATTCATGCCTAGAAACTTCCGTGTGTAGCCACAAGCCATTATGGGCTCTGGCATAGTTAAGTAAGTCGTGGGAAACCTTTCCATGATAGGCTAGCAGATGTAGGGGATTGTAGGTGTACCGGCCTATCTCTATCAGTTAAGGGGACCTCTTCGGAAAGACTGTGTCTCGATCATCCGGTTCTCAAACATCAGGCAGTGCGAAGAATTCAACGGAGGAGATCGAGTCTTGTGGGGAAAAGGGCCCAAACCTCTGCAGAGTGTATAAACAAATCATGATTTGCCGTGTCCCCGGTTATGGACATTTTGAGTATCTGGTATTTAAATTATTGATTGATCTCATCACTTTATTTAATGAAATTGTTGGATTATTAATTTGGTAATTTTGGGATTGAGTTGGGGGAACCTTCTCAACAATGACATAAAGTTGGTAGTTAAATAAAAATCAATTCCTTTGTTGTAGGGGAAAATTAGTTTTATGCAAAATTAAACTTAGATCCTCCACCAGCCAAATATGCATATAGAGATAGACAATTCTCATTATTATTCTATGGTGTGAAATTGCCAATATATTCAATGTACTGACCTATATGGCTGCAACATCTCATGTTGCAGGATTCTTACGACGAGTAAGTGATACGTTAGGGTAACGATGTATGCACCCAACTTTGCCATTGGTGTTATTGGGACTCCACAACCTTGTTGTTACTTCCGCTATATGGATTGAGGCAATAGTATTTATGCTACTTTATACATGTGATTTACCTTTGTTATAAATCCTCGAGTATTGTGTGTGTCAGCATACCGATCCAGGGATGACACTTAAGCACAGAGACTTCGATCCATTCGGGTCGGGTCGCTACATATGCCCTAGAGGCAATAAAGTTGTTATTTATATTTTCTTATATCATGATAAATGTTTATTATTCATGCTAGAACTGTATTAACCGGGAACTTATTACATGTGTGAATACATAGACAAACAGAGTATCCCTAGTATGCCTCTACTTGACTAGCTCATTAATCAAAGATGGTTAAGTTTCCTAACCATAGACATGTGTTGTCATTTGATGAACGAGATCACATTATTAGAGAATGATGTGATGGACAAGACCCATCCGTTAGCTTAGCATTAATGATCATTTAGTTTTATTGCTATTGCTTTCTTCATGACTTATACATGTTCATCTGACTATGAGATTATGCAACTCCCGAATACCGGAGGAACACCTTGTGTGATATCAAACGTCACAATATAACTGGGTGATTATAAAGATGCTCTACAGGTGTCTCCGATGGTGTTTGTTGAGTTGGCATAGATCCAGATTCGGATTTGTCACTCCGTGTATCGAAGAGGTATCTTTAGGCCCTCTCGATAATGCACATCACTATAAGCCTTGCAAGCAATGTGACCAATGAATTAGTTGCGGGGTAATGCATTACGGAACGAGTAAAGAGACTTGTCGGTAATGAGATTGAACTAGGTATGATGATACCGACGGTCGAATCTCGGGCAAGTAACATACCGATGACAAAGAGAACAACGTATGTTGTTATGCGGTTTGACCGATAAAGATCTTTGTAGAATATGTATGAGCCAATATGAGTATCCAGGTTCCGCTATTGGTTATTGACCGGAGATGTGTCTCGGTCATGTCTACATAGTTCTCAAACCCGTAGGGTCCGCACGCTTAACATTCGATGACGATTTGTATTATGAGTTATGTGATTTGATGACCAAAGTTTGTTCAGAGTCCCGGATGAGATCACGAACATGATGAGGAGTCTCGAAATGATCAAGAGGTAAAGATTCATATATTGAAAGGCTACATTTGGACACCGGAATGGTTCGGGTTGTTTCGAATAAGTTTCAGAGTATCGGGGGTTACAGGAACCCCCCCCCCCAGGAGGTTAATGGGCCACCATGGGCCTTAGTGTGGAAGAGAGAGAGGGCCGGCCAGGAGGTAGAGCCCCCCCTGACAATCCGAATTGGACAACGGGTGGGGGCGGCGCCCCCTCCTTCCTTCTCTCCTGTTCCTCCTTCCCTCCTTCTCCTAGTTGGAATAGGAAAGGGGGGAGCGAATCCTACTTGGACCAGGAGGCGCGCCCCCCTTGGGCCGGGCTCCTCTTCCCCCTCCTGTATATACGTGGGAGGGGGCACCCCAAAGACACACCAATTCTTCTCTTAGCCGTGTGCAGTGCCCCCTCCACAGTTACACACCTCGGTCATATCGTTGTAGTGCTTAGGCGAAGCCCTACGCCGGTAACATCATCATCACCATCGCCACGCCATTGTGCTGACAAAACTCTCCCTCGGTCTCAACTGGATCAAGAGCTCGAGGGACGTCATCGAGCTAAACATGTGCTGAACGTGGAGGTGCCGTACGTTCGGTGCTTGGAGCGGTTGGATCGGGAAGACGTTCGACTACACCAACCGCGTTACTAAACACTTCCAGTTTCGGTCTACTAGGGTACGTGGACACACTCTCCCCGCTCGTTGCTATGCTTCTCCTAGATAGATCTTGCGTGATCGTAGGTAATTTTTTTAAAATACTACATTCCCCAACATTTGTATGCAACCAATGGGAAATGATTGCTCGGGTTTTATTCAACCGATTTGATTGATGGCCTGCTAGTAGGATTTGTGATGCATGATGCCTCACATATTAGTAGATCTTGTCATTTTAGCCATTTGGGCTGCCCGTTGGGGCCCTTATTCTTCTATTGTATCATGTTGACGTTGCAATATTAACTAATTAATGATCGTGCATCACTCAATACAAAGGCTGAGTGCCTTTCCCTTTTTTAGAAGAAAATAATCCGATGTTGCATACTTTTTTTAACAAACCATACACTTAATGTCATTAACTATGACATACTTCGTTAGTATTAATATAGGTGCACTTGGTTTCACGATGGGATATGGATAGCCATCTTTTAGGTGGTTAGCCAACATATTGAGTTGTGAGATAGCCACATGCTTAAAATATTACACTAGAATCTCTGCTATTAAAGGAAGTTGGCTTTCCTTTCATCTCTTCTTCCCCCCCCCCCCATAAATATATGTTCTTTTCTATCATTTTTTTCTAAACAGACCCCCACCTCCTCATTTATAAGGAAAGAAACCCTTGCAAAGCAATCATCAGAGAAAAAAATCTTCAATAGCCAGAAATCCCTTACAAGCAAACAACAAAAATACCTTACGTAGTTGTACGTACACATTCTCAATCACATTATATCTTTCCTTACCTTTGTGACTTTGTCTATGGGTTTTCTCCCCCTCAACATATTTCAATCTCAAACCCAATCAACAATTTTCTACGTTGAAACACTAGAATAAAGTTGCCCCTATTGCAATGCATGAGTATTTAGCTAGTAGTTATTGGAGTCGGGCACTCTTGCTCGCCAAACCATTTTTCTCATTCTCTTGCCGCATCTGAATGAAGAAACCTAGTGCTATCTCTCCCTCTCTCGTGCATGCTAAATGTGTTGGCGGTCGAATAAGCACGCACGGTGGCATATAGGTTAGCCTCCATCTCCAATTCCCCCCTAGCCACTCCATCGTTGCAAAATGACTTACTAATGATGACCCAAAATACCCATTAACGGCAGTAGGTTGCACATCACCGCTAAGTGCTCACTAGTAATAGGTAACCAATAAAGGGCATCCACTCAACATTCATAATTAGGTACTAGTGACAAATGGCCCATCTGCGCGCATCACTAGTAGTTCGTCCAAGCCTAGCTTAGTGACATGTTCACGCCCCACCACCAACCCAATGAGAAGGAGATGGTGTTTGGCCTTTTGGCAACCCCTTAAAGATCTGAAGAGCTAGCCTGAGTGCTTTCTTCGTACTCTAAATTTGTGCCTTGGGGAATCCATCGCCAATGAAAAAATTATCGACCATAGTACTTACGAACCAGGGAGAGAGAACCTAGATCTAAGATCCGACCTTGTTTGTTGGAGACTTCAACCAGTTGCAGTGAGCTCACATGGGACACTTAATTTTGTAATGTGCGCCCCCGGTACGCTGGAGGAGTGCTTGATGTGTGGTGGTGGACCCGACAATCATGGAGTGTTTGATGTGTGGTGGTTCCTCGACTTAACGTTGTAGGAGGCGGAGATGGTGGATGCAACAACGATGATGGACAACGACAATGCTAAATCTAACGATGGTGTCGCAAGAAAGAAAGTGAAGGGAACTCGTGAGCATGTCCGGGGTAGATAGATAGATAGATAGATAGATAGATAGATAGAGAGAGAGAGAGAGAGAGAAGTCGGGCGGGCCAGTGGGGCGAACGCGACGCCTGATGAAGGACATCGAAATGCGTTTTTATGATAGGAGATAGTGCTTTGTAAACTTTGCCTTGTACACTTCCGATATGTTTTGACGAGAAGAAATGGTGTCGAGTCGACAAAAAGGAAGGGAGTTGAGTGTGGACTGTGGATAACGTACGGTAAGAAAAAAGCGTGTGCCTTCAAGGAAAACGTATTTCAGAAGCACGCAGATCCCCAGAATGCCCACCACGTGTCAACGGCGCAACGTCATCCCACCGGAATAGGCTTTGACCCCGTGATCCGGCGCCTCGTCTCACGCGACGCCACCCACCCCGCGGCCACCGACAAGTGGGGCCCACGTTCACCCCGCGCGCCCATATCTCCCTTCTTCCTCCTCCCCCCTTCCATCCCCGCTCCGCCACCCCGCCCCGCCCCCCTGCCGCATGGCGCTCGCGCGAACCGTCCCGCTCCCGCAGCTCGCTTCGGCCTCGCCCCTCCGCGGACACCGCCGCTGCCGCCTCCTCCTCCTCCCCGCAATGCCGCAGGCGCGCGGGGTCGCCTGCCGCGCCGCGACGACGACGCCGGCGGCGGTGGCGTCGGTGGGCGTCGGGGAGGACCTGCCCGAGGGGTACGAGCAGATGATGCCGACCGTGGAGGCGTCCCAGCGGCGCCGCGCGGGGGTTCTGCTGCACCCGACGTCGCTCCGCGGCCCGCACGGCATCGGCGACCTCGGCGACGAGGCCCTCGCGTTCCTCGACTGGCTCCACGGCGCCGGGTGCACGCTCTGGCAGGTTATTACTGACACGCATTGCCCTCGGAGTTACCGAACTGCTGGCCTATTAGGTGCCATTGGCGTGCAACAGTAAACACTCGGCTCCTAAAAAAAACTGATGTGGATGTTGGGTTGTCACTTGTCACATATAGGCACGATAGAAACACTAGACACTAGACTGTTTAGAAATTGGAATCACAAATAAGATGGAGGGATTCAAGCCATTTATACAGTGGTTACAAATATACGATGTAGCACAGTTTATCATTCTTGCTGCACATTGCAATGCTGATTGATTTTCTTAATATTCTCTGAACCGCGATAAACGGTGATGGTGCGCGAAACAGTGATCGGGCAGTGGGATGAAATAAGCTGAAGGACATGAAACAACACAAAAGCAACCTCTCCCTGTTCTCTCTGACCATTAAAATTAATTCAGTGATTTTGTTGCTTTTGCAACATGTCTGGGTTTTCCTATGCTATTTTGATGTTGCGGTTGTGTCCTTTTAATTGCCTTGTGCATTAAGCTTAGTTTCTGAAATGCTGATTGTCGGTTTGATCCATGTCCACAGGTTCTTCCACTTGTTCCCCCGGGAAGAAAATCCGGGGAGGATGGTTCTCCTTATTCAGGACAGGTGATGCTTTATGTTAATTACAACTTTGTTTGCCTATTTCAGAGTTAACTTTGTACCAGGTACTTTAGCCTATTTATGGCAGTAATTCAATGGTAATAGGGAACATTCATTGCAATTTGCAGGATGCAAACTGTGGTAGTACCTTATTGATTTCTCTCGAAGAGCTTGTTAAAGATGGGCTGTTGATGGAAGACGAACTTCCTGATCCTTTGTGAGTTTGAATTTCTTCGGTCACTTGTGAAGGCACCTATAAGTTTGCCGTTGACCCTTTGTGTGTTTAAATTAATGACAGAGATATGGAATATGTTGAATTTGACACCGTTGCTAATCTGAAAGAACCTCTTATTGCCAAGGTTAGTTATTAATGGTTGTTATATCGGTCATGTCCTTTCTGCCAGAAAAAAAGACCCGTCAGGTCCTCTCTGTTTAATGTGCAAGCTTATGCACACTTCCTGTTTTTCTCCCTTGAATGTGCTATCCTACCAGCCTGGTACAATATGTATATGTTTGGATGACTTATTGCATTTGTAGAATTGTTGGCTGCTTCTACATTCTGAAAACGCCAGAATAAAGTTATTTAAATGATATTACCTTGGCCTATCAACAGCCCGAGTACTACTGTATGGTAGCATGTAAAAATGGTTCCTCCATTTCATTTTTGGATGGGCCATACAAAACATTATTTTTCATTCTGTGTACATGTACATTCTTTGGTGATCAAGTTTAAATATTCTGGGTTTGAGAACATATTCATAAAAACAAAATTAGTGCTCATTGACAAAAGAAAAGCACTTTTCTATCATGAAGATTGGTTTCAGTGAACAGCTTATAGATAAATCTTTTTATTCTAGGCAGCAGAGAGGCTACTACAGAGCCCTGGAGAGCTCAGAAGGCAGTATGACGAATTCAAGAAAAATCCAGATGTTTCAGGCAAGAGATCTCGATTTGCTGTCGAAACAATGCTTTCCGCGTCTTTCATATTCTTATTGGGAAAAACACATCTGTCTCTACTGTTAACATAAGGTTTACATTTTCTAATTATAAACCATAAACTACTCAATCAAAATGTTGGGCAAGCACCAAGGCTCAGATGACAGTCTTAATTCAGCTGGTTTCCTTTACAAATACGCTTCTTTTCTGTTCAAAAGGGAATATAGCAATGGCGTTGATGTCTGAAGTGATAACATCAATACATAGTATAGTCTATAGTGCTTATCTCCTCTTCCTACCAGGTTGGCTTGAAGATGCTGCACTTTTCGCTGCTATCGACAATAGCATCAATGCAGTGTCCTGGTCTGAGTGGCCTGAACCGCTGAAAGATCGCCATCCTGGAGCCTTGAAAGATATATATGAAAACCAGAAGGACTTTGTGCGTAGCTCAAACTATTCGTTTTGCAATGTAATTGTGTTTTACAAAAATACTGGCATATTTATATATTGAACCTGTTATGCAGATAGAAAATTTTATGGCACAACAGTTCTTATTTGAAAAGCAATGGAAACGGGTTCGTTCACATGCACAGAAGCTTGGCATCAGCATAATGGGTGACATGCCAATATATGTTGGCTACCACAGCGCAGATGTTTGGGCAAACAGGAAATCATTTTTGCTGGTATACCTCAGTGGTTTCTCTTAACGAACATACTTCTACTGGTGAAGAATTTAAATTTTCTAAGTTTTTTTTATTGTTCTCTGGTTGTAAAGGACAAGAATGGTTTCCCCACATTTGTTAGTGGTGTTCCACCTGATGCGTTCAGTAAAACTGGTCAGTTATGGAACAGGTAGAAGCTTCAGTTCCTGTCAATTTGATTTTTCTTAGTTCTTGTCTGTTGCGTTTCCAGTAACCCTACACTCCCTGTGACATAATAAAAGGTTGAACACACTGTTTCCTTTGCTAAATTTGCTATTTTTGCAGCCCATTGTATGACTGGAAATCTATGGAAGCAGATGGCTTTGCATGGTGGGTAAAGAGGATTAAACGTGCCCTTGATTTGTATGATGAGTTCCGTATTGACCATTTCCGCGGGCTTGCTGGTTTTTGGGCAGTTCCTTCGGGTAAGCTAAACACATCACTGCGCTTACCTGTCTGCATAATAAATACTCCCTCCATCTCAAAGTAAGCGACTCAACTTTGTACTAACTTTAGTACAAAGTTGAGTCACTTATTTGGGACGGAGGGAGTATTATACTGCAAGTAAATTTGCTTTTTTTTGGAAAAATGGAATTCATTATGCTAATTGATTAAGCTTGCACAATGTAGGATCAGAAGTAGCGATGTTTGGAAGCTGGAGGGTGAGCATTGACTTCATGAATGACACTGTTCCCTTTTCTTCACAAAATCTTTGTTGCTGATGTTATCTCCTGTTTTCTTTGGCAGTAGGCTGGACCAAGGAATGCCTTTTTTGATGCGCTTTTCAAAGCTGTTGGTAGAATAAATATAATCGCAGAAGACCTGGTAAACACTGGAGCCTTTTCTTTTAACTGTTGAAAGTGAAATCTGGAATCAAATGCATAGTTTTTTGGTGGATTTGTGCAAACTTGGAAACTAAAAAAAGTACTAGCCGTGATTTAATCATAATATTAGCTGTTGAAGTATAGTTGCAGTCAGCTGATTCGCTTATTTCGTGCTCACTGGCAGTGCCAGAGCCACAACCCTGTGGGTCAAATACACAATTACCTATAAATTTACACTGTTTTTAGTGTTAATCTCATGAAATTTGAGTATTTGACAACTATAATGTGGTTTTGCAAAAATATCTGTCTGGTCAGCTGGCCCCATAATCTTAATGTGGCAACCACGTTTCATGCTTATGATTCTCTTTTCATTCCAAAACTAATTGTAGGGGGTGATAACTGAAGATGTTGTTGAGTTAAGGAAGTCTATTGGGGCTCCGGGGATGGCAGTTCTTCAGTTCGGTAATAGTCCAATTGCAATATGAACATGCTTTCTTTCTATAAGGAACTATGGCTCTGAGTACACGTGAAATATTGACTCAGATTTGAATGGTCTAATTTCCATTTGTATACTGGACAGCTTTTGGTGGTGGTCCTGGCAACCCCCACTTACCTCATAACCATGAATTGAATCAAGTTGTATACACTGGGACACATGATAATGATACAGTTAGTACCCTAACCCCTTTCAAAAACTCCTTTATTCACATCTTTTGTAAGATTACATTATTTACAGTTTTGGAAGTTAAAATTTAGTCCTGACACTTTGAATCATGTCTTCCTCAGGCTGTTGGCTGGTGGCAAAGCTTACCAGAGGAAGAGAAGCAAACTGTCAGTGTTTAGCGTACCATGACACGATGTCTGGTGCCATGTCTTCCTAATCTTACCCCTGTACTTCTTTCAGGTGTTCAAGTATCTACCGCAGGTCAGCAACTCGGATGTCTCTTGGGCGCTAATTGCTACTGCCCTCTCTTCCGTTGCGAGGACTTCCATGGTAACCATGCAGGACATACTCAGCCTTGGCAGCTCTGCTAGGATGAACACTCCAGCTACACAGGTTACCGGCTGCACACCGCCTGCTTGTAAAAGAGCTAATTTACAGCTAGAATAAATAATCAGTAGCCTCGTGAAGCTTATTCTCTCTTCTCCTTCTCATCCGCAGAAAGGAAATTGGAAATGGAGGATACCAAGCTGTGTCAGCTTCGACAGCCTTAGCCTCGAAGAAGCAAAGCTGAAGGAGTTGCTTACGCTGTACGGCCGGCTGTGAATTTCTTGGTTCTTCAGCACCACTCCTGTGTTCTCTGTCTCTTCAGGCTCGGAACTGCCAGACGGTACTGCCATAAACTAGCAGCCAAACATGAAGGATCTGGCTGCTATTGTTCCGCGGGATGTTGGCACCTGTCCCCGAATAATAGGGTTGTGTTGATTGGTTGCAAATTCACATGCTTGAACTTGAAGCGTCTTGCATGTCTACAACTTGTTTATTATGGTGTATATATAGTCCTATGATAATAAAATGGTAGTCCTTTATTTTCCCATTTCGTCTATGTACTATTGTAACTCATGAGTCTTGGAACTCTTGATAAGTGGGATATGTGTATCAAGTTCTTTTTTACATTTCAGAGGAAATTCTGTGTGTTAAGGTTTACTTTTGTATTTATCGTGTTGTGCTGCCCTCAGCTGGAAGGAGGTATAAAAGGTCTATTTTACCTTGCCAGATTAATCTGCTTTTAGGCGAAACTCGCTGGTTGAATGCAGCCAAATGTTGATAAATTGGCAATCTTGGTTATACAGTATGCTTGCTTCCTGTTGTGAAGAAAGCACAGGAACGTTGAGTGTTAGTAACTCCAGCATTCGAATAGAAAAGATGAAGACAGACGTAACACAAAGGATGCAAGCACAAAGCAGAGCACCGTCCTCAAGGGCAACAAAGGCTTCGTCAGGAGGAAAGGGACCGGTTTGTTAGAGAAAGGAGTAATGAAATGACACATGAGGAAAGCCTGGGCATATATATATATATATGCAATATACTAGGGAGCAGAGCGCAAAACCTCGAAAGAGCACCGTCCTCCAGTTGGAGGACCTCGTTAGAAGGATATGGAGCAGCGGAGGGATCTAGCCGTAAGAAAAAAAGCAACGAAAGGACACAAAATGAAAGCCGAGGGCCTATCTGAAAAATACCAGGTACCAGCGCGAGAAATCTCAAAAAAATTTGGACCATTTCTCGATTTGTGCGTGCCATCCTTGCGCAGGCTGTATCGTTCCAATTTTATCGGACGTCCCGGAGGAGACGACGCAGATGAAAGCGTCGGGCTTATAAACTGGTCGAAACCTCCTTCGCTAGGCGATGTGGTACTAAACAGACAGGGGTCCTCTTCGTGCGCGCGTGCGTCCCGCAAAAGCGCAGTAAACGGTACGTGGGCCGCATCTGCGTTTAGGCTGGGTGTTCCTCTTGTCGGCCCACTATACGAAGCGGGCTGAAAACATACAGACCGCCTGCGTAAGGCTGGCCCTTCGTCCCATCTGTGTATGTTGTAACCCTCGAAAAAAAAAGAATGTGTGCATGCACCTTTTGGTTTTCACAAAGCCATCTGAAGTCAACCTAGTCAACACCTATGCCAAGAAGGATAGGCAAATCACTCAGGGACGCAAAAAATGGGTCAAGCCGGAGGGAGAGTTGATTAAAATCAATTTAGATGGAGCTTTCCACAGTGAACTTCGTACAGGCGGTTGCTCTCCAGCATGCATACCAGTGACAGTGAAGCTCGTCCACTGCTGAGCAACTGGGCATGGGCAAGGTTCTGTTTAAGACTGACTGCATTACTCTCAAGTCTCAAGCAAGCAAGCAAGCCATCCACAGCGATGATTTCGATACGGCCATGCTTGGTGCTCTGTTTAGAGAAGCCAAATTACACCTCAGTCTTGATTTTGTTGATGCTAGTTTTGAATCTTGTCCACGTGAGTGTAATAGGCCTGCTCATGAGCTGGCTGCGCTGGGTGCCTGGCAAGTTCACGGAGACCACACATTTGTGGTTGACGAACTGTCCGGATGTACCGTAAAACGTTTGGTGCCCGGCGATTTAGTCGAGCCATAATGGAATGCTTGGTGTTTCTGTCAAGAAAAAAGACAACCTATCTTCCACGAGCTTATTGGATAGGGGCAAGGGTATCGAATTAGACTAATATACGTTTTGCTGTTTTCTTCGGGGAAAAATATAAATTTTATTCATTGAATATAGAGTTGCAACTAAGAGGCAAAATTTTCTCAATACACGGAGGATCTTCATGAAGCCATACAGAGTCAATAGACTCAGTACGGCCATAATTAACCAGTCGATCTGCTACCCTATTATGTCCCCATTTAAGCTTTTATGAAGTAAACTTTTTGAAAATCCAACTCGGTGCCCAGGCTCATCTGCTCTTGGTCTGAAAAAAAATTCAAAACAAATATTAAAAAAATTCAAAAAAAATCTAATTTTTTTTGTGGTAGATAATTCGATCCGTGAGGTCCGTTCCAAATTTCAACTCATTCAGATATCTGAGTAGCTCTCGGCAAAATAAATAAATCAGGTAGAACAGTGTGTGAACAGTACACTTTTTTATAGACCCGGTTTTGTCTTTTTTGCTGAGAGCTGCACAAATATTCAAATAAGTTGAAATTTAAAGCAGGCCTCACACATTAAATTATCTACCACACAAAACAAATTTGAATTTTTCTAGTATTTATTTTGATTTTTTTCCTCACACGAATGCATATAAGCCGCCCAGGAGCAGAAACGCCACGTCCGTAAATTCCTTGTCCATGAGAGACGTGATCTCAGGAGCCATGCATCCTAAATTTGGTCCGCTCGATGTTAGTCTGGATGCATTTTGGACTCAAATTTACGTCCACACGGACACAAGACGAACATGGGACATGTCATCTCGGTGTCCGCCTTGGGCTCATTTGTCGGCCGTCCAACCACTCGCTTCGGTCATTTGACATGCAGGTTCGGGCCCGCTCGTCAGCCATAGGAAGTGTCTGTGCCCCGTCCTTTTTTAAATGGCAAGCGTGCAGTGTGTGTGCGCGTGGGTGGGTGGGGGAGGCATCCCCACACCAGTCCCGCCGCCATGGGCTTCTTCGGCTATGAGCGTGGCAATCATGACCACGAGGCAGGCGCGCTGTGCCACGGCTAATTTCACCTTGGTGCCGCGGGGGCGGCCGACATGCGACCAACTATACATGCCCATGCACCGGGCGCACTACCACTGGGTAGCCAGTTAATTCCCTTTCCTCCCGATATACAGTACCTCGTTTCAGGTTTCCCGCTGTTGCATCTATACCCCACCCTTGCAGGCGCCCGTTGCCTCTGCTCCGTTGTTGCGTATGTAATGAGATAACCCCATCGGATGTTGCCTCTCGATGTACAATGCGTACTTTGCGCGCTAGTTGGAGACACCATCCGTATATACACGAATGCGGTCAGCCGATACACGAACAAACTGGTGCATATTTGGTCTGTATTTTTGCAGCGTGGCCGCATGTACGTGTAGACGATTTAGATAGGACTTCATAACCTGCTAGGTCAGGACCCAAATTTCTTCATACGATTAGTACGACATGTGTTGCTCCTTACTCGAGAATAGTTCATCGTTGGAAAGATACCAATATGTACATACACGATTAGGGCTAGACAAATATCGCAATACACAAGTTTCAACCCGGTGGATCTTAGATATCAGGATCCCTTTAAGAGAAAGCATTTTTTCCTTCGAAAAGGAGACACCTGCTTACATACGACCATGAACCTGATGGGTCCTTACTGTCAGCCTCTACATGTACTGTACTCTGATGATTGTCGTTTGTTGACTACATTGGCAAAGCATGCACCAGGTGGATGACTACGTTGAGGCCTCGGACAATGCCTTGTGTATGCTTCGAACACCGACTCCAAGGCATCAAGGGGAACATTTTCGTTCAAGCCATCTTCACCGTCTCTAAAGACAACACCACCACCTCCATTCCATTCTTATCCATCTATGTACAATCAAGTGTGAATTGGTACATTGTTGGTGTTAACTGTTGTATACTTGTATTGGTAGTTGGTGCCTTGTGTTTTGTTGGTGAAATATCATTATTTGGCATCAAACACTCTCTGCTGATTCTATATGATTTAAGTGGACATGTTGCTTCAATCCTATATTTTGCTTCTTTCTACACTTTTGGAATTGAATCGTGCGAATCAAAAGACCCTAAAATAAAAAGTATAAAGCATAGAAAACTGTTACTATAGAAAAAAAGAATATAGAAAATTGTTAGGATGTGGGCCGCGAGGGCCTGATCATTAGGTAGTGGGCTGCGTGGGCAGCGGTCTGAGCTGTTTCTACTCCCTAATAACGTTTAGGCCCTAGCTCCACGCTTGCGTTATCTCTTTCTCCACAATTCCTCCTGCCGCAAAAGCCATCTCCGCAGCCGCCGCCTCCCCTCCCCCGCCGAAGCCCCGAGGTACCCACCCGCCTCCGTCCATGTTACTACTTGCCGATCGCCCTACTTGGTTTGCATCTTGCATTTCATCGATGGTGTACTCGTTTGATTCTTCAAATTGATTTTCGGCAGTACGGCACAAGATCGACCATGGCGCTGATCGGCAGTGACGACACGGCGGCGGTGCTCGAGGAACTGCGCCGAAGGAAGGACGAGGACCACCCCGAACATTTCCACCATTACGAGGTCGATGCCGCAGGCCACCTGAAGAGGCTATTCTGGGCCGACGCCGACTCGCGCCTCAGCAGCGTCCTTGGTCCCCGTCATCGGCATGAACCACCACCGCCGCCCCGTGCTCCTCGGCTGCGGCGTCCTCACGGACCAGTCCCCCGACTCGTACGTCTGGCTGCAGCGAGCCTTCATGAGGTCCACCTGCCAGGTGAGGCCCAAGTCTGTGATCACCGACGGCAGCGACGCGGTTGCGCTCGCCGTCGAGACCGTGCTCCCGCAGTCCAACCACCGGATCTGCTCGTGCCACCTGGAGCGAGGCATCAGGGAGCACCTCGATGGCTATTCGGCCAAGGCCGGCTTCAGGTCGCTCATGTTCGAGGACAGTTGCTCGCCTGTGGAGTTCGAGGAGCGATGGCATAGTTTCGTGGCCAGCCACAGGACGGCGAGCAACCTGGAGTGGCTCTTGAAGATGTACGTGAGGAGGGAGCTCTGGGCTGCTGCCTTCGTCGGTGACAAGTTCTTCCTCGGCATGGTGACGGACCAGAGCACGGAGTGCCTCTGCCTATCTTCGG